ACCGGGGGTACACATACCCGTGGGGATACGCAGAGGTCTTCCCAGAGGTACATTCGCTCATCTAGATATTTGCCTAGTTTTACAACAGGCTACATAAAAAGCACTAGCAAAGTCAGTACAAACTAAAATTTCATACAGACAAGGACTTGTTTATACTGCTCTGTATACTATATGCTGAAATGTGAGTACAATTGTTATATTCCAATCGATTTATTTTATAATTATATGCATAACAGTGTAAGTAAGTTACATGTAAAAACACCCACGCACCTGGATCAAAAGATAGTCTCTCATGGTCTTTCAATGTACATATGTAATTGAATATGAAGCAGATCCTCAGCTGGTATAAATTGTCAAAGTTCCATTGAAGGCCCTGCCCGGGGAGGTTTAGGAGCTCAAGAAATGCAAGAATGAACCCTTTACTACCATTTCCAGAACTAAGCATAGAATGGAATAATGGCAACCAATCGTTGTGTAAAGTTACTACTCTCTCCTCATTCAGAGCCCCCTCCCCTCCATGACATACTTCTACTTAATACCTACAATAAATGAGTCAACACTGACATTTAGCTATTTCTTTACTTTAGATTATAATAATAAAGCCAACAACAACATGGATCTAACAAGACATGCCAATGTTTATGTGCTGTAACCCTTTCCCAATTTTTCTTTCTTTTGCTTTGTCTCCTTAGAGCATAAGCCGTTTGAGTAGGACCATGTGTCTTCCAATATGTCTGTACAGGGATATTTTAGGTGCCATTGTAATATAAATGATTTATAGTAAATAAAACCAGCACTATTCTAGGAAGAATGGAGCATAGAAAGCCTTGTTCTGCAGTTGCTATAAAAAGTAGGAATTTACAAATAGTAGTTTCTGAAATAGCATGGTTTCCCCTTTTTGTCTCTATGAATAGGGAAACTAAGGTATTTCAAAAAGAACAGGAGTACTTATGGCACCTGTAAGCGAAGAGACAGCCCCCCAACCTGAAGCAATTACTCACCAGCAACCACACACCACACAACAAAAACACTAACCCAGGAACCTATCCTTCCAGCAAAGCCCGATGTCAACTCTGTCCACATATTTATTCAAATGACCTAATCATAGGACCTAATCACATTAGCCACGCCATCAGGGGCTCATTCACCTGCACATCTACCAATGTGATATATGCCATCATGTGCCAGCAATGCCCTCTGCCATGTACATTGGCCAAACCAGACAGTTTCTACGCAAAAGAATAAATGGACACAAATCTGACATTAGGAATCATAACATTCAAAAACCAGTAGGAGAACACTTCAACCTCTCTGGTCACTCAGTAACAGACTTAAAGGTGGCAATTTTGCAACAGAAAAGCTTCAAAAACAGACTCCAACAAGAAATTGCTGAGCTTGAATTAATATGCAACCTAGATACCATTAACTTGGGTTTGAATAGTGACTGGGAGTGGCTGGGTCATTACACATATTGAATCTATTTCCCCATGTTAAGTATCCTCACACCTTCTTGTCAACTGTCTCAAATGGGCCATCTTGATTATCACTACAAAAGTTTTTTTTTCTCCTGCTGATAATAGCTCATCTTAATGAATTAGCTTCTTACAGTTGGTATGGCTACTTCCACTTTTTCATGTTCTCTGTATGTATATATATCTCCTTACTATATGTTCCATTCTATGCATCTGATGAAGTGGGCTGTAGCCCACGAAAGCTTATGCTCAAATAAATTTGTTAGTCTCTAAGGTGCCACAAGTACTCCTGTTCTTTTTGCTGATACAGACTAACACGGCTGCTACTCTGTAAAGTATTTCAGATACCACAGTGCAATTACTATGGGTAAATATTGACATTTTAGGTTATAATTTCACCAAACTATTAGTAACTTTGTAAATAGGTTTGCAAATGACTGACTGTAATTTATCCAAAGTAATGGACAACAAATACAAACATGGATAATACATGCATTCCTTTCTTTGCTTGTATATGATCTGTAGGATCGAGCCTTTAATTTTTTAGTCAGTAAAACTGATTATGTGACTTAGTGAACACGTGTACTGCAGCAAAATTAATTAATATCAAATGGTAAATATAAACATTTTTCTAGCAAACGACAAACCATCTTGAAGTTAGGCAGTTCATATGATGTTAGTCTTTATAATAAATAAAAATGCTTTCAGTTACAAAACTGAAAGGGCGAAATCGTGACCCTATTCAAGTCAATGGCAAAACCCCCAGTGACTTCAATGAGACCAGGATTTTACCCATTCAAGTCAATAAAACCATAAATTACTTCAACTGGCCCAGGATTTCTCCCAAAAGGTTTGAATAAAATCTATTCAATAACAATAAAATAGGATACGTTCTCATCGGGCTGTCATAGATTCATAGATTTTTAAGGACAGAAAGGGACCAGTATGATCATCTAAATCTGACCCTTCTTCAACAAAGACGTAAAGAACCTTACCCAATAAACTCTGCATCAAACCTATATTTTCTGTTTGAACTACAGCATATCTTTTAGCAAGATATTCAGTTTTAATTTAAAGACTTCAAGTGATGGAAAATTTACCACATCCCTAGGTATATTCTTCCAATGTTTAAATACCATCACAGTTTAAATTGTGCACCTTTGGCTAGCTTCAGCTAGCTATGCCTTTTTCTGCTAGATTAAAGAGCTGTCTCTTCTCCATGTAGGTATTTGCAGACTTTGATCAAGTGACCTCTTACCCTTCTTTTAGGTGAACAAAATAGATTGAACTTCCTCAGCCTCTTGCTTTACAGCATGTTTTTCTGATTTCAAATCATTCTTGTAGTTGTTTTTTGAATGCTTTCCAATATTTCAACATCTTTTTTCATGTGGACACCAGAAAGAGACGCAGTACTTTAGTACATGGGTAATACCATCTCTCTACTCCTACTTGTTATTGTCTTGCTTATACATACGAGGATCCTGTTTGCCCTTTATACCATTATATTAGGAGCTCATGATCAAATGGATATCTATTATGTCCCCCAAGACCTTCTTAGTATATCTGCATTCCTTGTAAGTGTGGCTTATAGTCTTTGTTCCTAGATGTATGACACTGCATTTGGTTGTGTTGAAATGCATGTTATTCAGGTTTCAAGTAAAAATTGCAGAAAAGACGTATATGAATTTTCATCCTCTGAGAAGTCTAGTTTGATTTTCAATGAGGTGGTATTTTCCACAAGTGAAATACATTTAGTCCTACTAATGGATCACACCACTGTAAGGGAATTAAAATACACTACTACATCTCTGTGTACTGGACAGAACTTAATCTGAGAGAGAATATTAGGCCTCACTATCCCCAGAAATAGTGCTGACTCTTCCATGTCACTTCAAGGTTGTTACTGAATAAGCATTTAACTCTGTTGCAACCCCACATCCTCTCTGTGCTCTGGGCCCCTACTTGCACCATAATAAAACAAGATGTTCAAAGTGGTATCCAAATATATGCCACCTATCTACTGAGTGAAACTGAAACAGTTCAAGATACACAAGCATGCTTCAACTAACCGTACCCAGAGATTTTTATGGGGCTCGGCAAACTCCAGGCGAGCACAAAATAAGCCAGATTGAAAGAATATTTGCAGTGGGAAATATGTTCTCCCTATGTTGATGATGTATTGACCCAACTGGTATGAGCAACCATACTTATGGAAATGGGAGGGCTGGGTTTTTGGAGATACCCCTATGCAAATAGTCAGAAGCAGCACTGACTCTTCCATATCTCTTCTGGGATATTATTAATTCAGCACTTACCTTTGTTGCAATCGCATGTCTCTCTGTGCGTCTACCTGCACCACAACACAGCACCACATTCTTCTGAGCCTAAATATTTCAGCCATAAAAATCTTTTAAAAACTTCAAATGGGGACGCAGTTCAAGGTACAACCTTAACCAAAAATAACAAACTATTCATATATAATGTTTGGAGGGGAAAAGCTCTATTTAAATACAGTCTGTTGTTTCTAACAGATGTCAACATTAAGTATTATTATTTGAAGTGGAATGTTTGTATTTATATTTAATACTATGTATAATGAAAACTGGGAAAAACAGTACACTTTCAGAAAAGTCTATCGTGCCCATTATTATTCATCTCTTACTCCATATCAGTGATTTGCATCATCCAATGTCATATCTCTGGGTATTTATGAGAAATTTGCCAATATTAGTGTAATGTTACCAAAGGAATTAATTAGGATATTGCTATTTCAATTCATTACACATGGAGGACGCAATTTTGATCTCAATTGCTCAGATCTGAATCAGGAATAAGTCTACTGATGTCACTGGGCTTACACCAGTATAAAATTGGTGAGATCAGAATCAGGTCTGGAGTTTTAAAAGCAGCCAGTCAGTTTTCTTTTACAAGCATTCAAATTCAGAGACAGAAATCATGTTTCCTCCTCTAGTCAACCAATCTACTGATTCATCAGAAGTGAAATTCTGCCACACATTTTGATTGTCCAAATAAAGAGAACGCTTTTCTTTTCTTTTTTCTTTTGTAAAGGGAGGAAGAAGTTAAAGTAGATGAAACCTAAGCTACTTTTTATATCATTTAAAAAAATGAATTGTTTAACAAGGTATAAAAGGAGCCAATATTAATTTTCAATCTATGATGTTTCTCATACAAGAAGTTTTAAATAGACTTCAAATTTTAGCTGTATTAAAGAATGTATATGTTAAAACAATAAGGCACAACATGATCAATTGTTGGACTGAATTTGGAATAGTTCAGTGGGAGTTGATGTTGTGGATAGAACCCTATATGTTTAAGTTGTACATACAAGTGTTGCTATTATAGACATCTGAGCCTTGTGTTTCAAGAACTGTTTTTCTAAAGAAATTAATAATATTAGTTATGCCCATTGATTTAGACTTGCTTTACCATGTGATGCTCCATGTTTCAATTCCACAGCTTAATTAAAACTGAATACTGAAGATAGAAGTCAGACTCTATCCTAAGATATCAATTATTTTCTTTCCTTTTATTTTTCAATTTGACCATCTCTGTACAGTCTGAAAGATGAACATTTACAAAAGCATATTTAATATAAAGAGAAAATCAGAGTATTTGATTTTATTTCACAGTTTGATAGCAGCTCTTAGTTTGGCAGACCGCCCTCTTGGGTTCTCTTGAACATCTGCAGCCTGGGGAGTAAGCACTTTTTTCTGTATAGATGTCCACCTTGAGTTGGAATTTTCACTGAAGAATTCTTCCACATCTTGTTCTGAATAATTTTTTTGTCCTTGTCTTATCTTTTGTCTTATGTTAAGGTTGAACTTTTCTGAAACATCTGTTCCTTGAAGGAATCGTTTGATGATACGATCCTCTAGCGAATGAAAAGAAAGGGCTACAAGTCGACCTCCAGGTTTCAGAAACTTCTCAGCTATCTTCAACCCTACATAGAGTTCGCGGAGCTCATCATTCACAAATATACGCAAGGCTTGGAAAGTTTTGGTGGCAACATGTGTAGGTCTCTGAAGTAAGTCTTTTCGGGCATACAAAGCTCCAGCTGGAAAAGCACCTGTTATGGATTAAAGAAAGAGAGAAAGGAGATTAAAGTTTGGTCATCAAGTACATTTATACTGCTCTCCTGTACTGGAACCTGCTACCTTTTAGAAAAAATCTGGTAATTCCATAAACTTTTTGTACCTGCCATTAACTACTTTTGACATTAATCCAGTGATGTGTGCTGACTTTCAAGTAAAGGATACTTTGAACAATGAATAGTGACCTCCTCCCTTTATAATACATCTTTAAGACCTGTCCTTGAAAGCCTTAGTTACATGAGTAAGACCTGTTCAACTGAGCAGTCCTATTGTGGAATCAGGCCCTTTTTCTACAGAATCATTCACACAAACTGCACCTCAAATCCTTCAAAGAATTGAAAAATAAAGTTGCAAGTTAGAATACAAAGCAATAGCCATGAAACTGCGATAAATAAAAAGTATAGACAGGTTAGACAGATAAGATGCCCTAAAACTCTGCAGTAAAAATTAGTTTTCTATATCTTCATTAGAAATAGTACTCACTACATTCATATTTAGCTGTAGATAGACATGCATGCTTGGTTGCTTGTCTGAGATTCTTAAAACAGGTTATATAATTTATGCAGAAGCAGAAGCAAATATTAAGTGTCATCGTCTAGATTATTGTGCAATAATTCACAGAGGCGGGATTTAAATAATTATTCTATTTTAATTAAATGCAATTAAATACTTTTTCTAGTTTAAAGAAATAAGACTATTACTTATTAAACTTTAATGAGCAAACCATATACGGTATTAAAAGCTTAGTGAATCTAATTGTGATACTACAAAACTTGTGATACTATTTGTGATATCTAATTGTGATACTACAAAACTACTTTATCCACTCAATAAAACATTAAAAGGAAATATTATTTTCTTGTAGTGTATGAACTTCATTTAAGTATTTATATAATTACATTTTAATAAGAAGACACTGAATAGAGCTGGATCTCTAGCTTTCATAAATCCTACTTTAGAGACTTCACAGATTGATAATTTCTTATATATGAATTTGAATATAGTTGATTGTAGCTATTGCAGAAACTATAATTCATCCATCAGTATAGTACAGTGGTCTCCAACCTTTTTATGCCCAAGATCACTTTTTGAATCTAAGGGCAACCCAGGATCTATCCCACCCCTTCCCCAAAGCCCCGCCTTGCTCACTCCACGCCCCCTCCTCCCCCCAGTCGCTCACTCTCTTCTGCCCTCACTCACTTTCACTGGGCTGAGGTAGGGGTTGAGGTTCGGGAGGGGGTGCTGGCTCTGGGCTGAGGCCGAGGGGTTTGCAGTGTGGGAGCGGGCTCTGGGCTGAGCCTGGGGTAAGGGGTTGAGGTGCTGGAGGGGGGTGAGGGGTGCAAGCTGTAGGAGGGAGTTTGGGTGCAGGAGGGGGCTCCGGGCTGGGGCAGAATGTTGGGGTGCAGGAGGGGGTACAGGGTGCTGGCTCTGGGAGGGGGTAAGGGCTGGGGCTTGGGGTGAAGGAGGGGGTATGAGGTGCTGACTCCGGGAAGGGGCTCAGGGCTGGGGGTTGGGGTGCAGGAGGGGGGTTTGGGGTCCTAGCTCTGGGAGGGGGCTCAGGGTGGGGCTTGGGGTGCAGGAGGGGGTTCGGGTGCTAGATCCGGGAGGGGGCTCAGGGCTGGGGTGCGGCCTCCCGCCGGGCAGCACATAGCTCCGGCGACTCCCGGTCGGCAGTGGGTGCAGCAAGACTGAGTGTAGCTGCCGCTAAGGCAGACTCCCTGCCTACCCTGTCCCCACACCGCTCCTGGAAGGGGCCAACGTGCCCCTGCGGCCCCTGGGGAGGGGCAGGGGGGGCACATGACTTTGCGCGCTGCCCCTCTCTGCAAGCACCGTCCCCACAGCTCTACCTGCCTACCCCCCGCCACTTCCGCCCCCAGGGCCACGGGGCTGCGGTGGCTGCTTCCAAGAGCGGCATGGGCTGGGGTAGGCAGGGAATCTGCCTTAGTGGTAGCCACACTACACCGCCGTAGATTGCGATCAACTGGGAGATCCTCTAGGATCGACCAGTCGATCGCAATCGACCGGTTGGTGACCACTGGTATAGTACAACCAGTCTTCCTCTTTACAGTACAAAATGACTGTGTCACATATTACCACACACACATTATTTCCTGTTTGTTTTCAATATTACATATTTCTCATGGCAAATCTTTTATATAAAGATAATCATATGTTAATTAGCATTGTTTATGCCTAAATGGGCACATACAAAGAATCAAGAATACAGATTTATTATATATTACTAAGATCTTATCTTTATCGTCTCGTTATGTATTTAAAGTGTATAAATAAAGAGAAAAATGCAGGTTTAGATTATTTAAAGTTCATATTTTTCTCCTCATACCACATAGTAACTTCCACACAAGATCATGAATTTTAGATAGAAAAGAAATTATAAGAAAGGCAGGTTTATTACTATGTTTAGCCTAAATTTTCCATGGTCTCACAGTTCATACTTTGGTATTAGCGACAGTCTGCTTGAACTGGGACAAATGGTATTTGAAGGAAAGCAAGTCTAAAATCTAATGTTGAGTTGTCAGCATGTGAGAGAGTACTGAGGTTAAAAGGTGTTGTTTATAGGGCTTCTGTTCTTCCTAGATTATATTCTATGGATAAGAAATCTGGAAAGAGGGTCTATGTGAAGTAGCCATGCCAACTAAACAAAAAGGCATCCATTGGGAAAATGTCCCAATCAGATTTTTTGGAGGTTACCTAATCTGCAGATTTTGAGCTGAATTAAATAGGTTGAAACTATGGAAACCCCAGTGCATAGTATTTGATTAAACTGTATGTGGGTGAGACCATTGCTCTGTTTCACATTACCTGTTTGCACAGATAAGGCAAGTGACCGACTGACCTTGTATTAATTGCCTGAGGTTTACAAAAGGCATCCTTGCTGCATTCATGCTATGCATCTGCTGCTAAATTTCCAACCTTATTTTTTGATTATTCTTTGATTTTCTAAGATAGAAGGGTTAAGAAGGAACAGTTGATGTTGTTCCCACCTCAAGTAGTTAGATTGTTTCTGGTTAATGTGACAGTGTCACTGTGTGAATTTGTTGGACAAATAGCTCCAAATACTGCCAACTAATCTATATTGTCCACTGACTCTTGGAGGAATTGCACCATTCTCTTTACTATTCAGAAGACAAAGATGACCAAGGTAATATTTTCTGGACTTCTTTGTGGCATTATTCACCTTACAAAATTTAGCTTTATATCATCAGTCTCTATGCATGGGTAAATAAGGCTAATGAAGCCTGGGCTAAAGAAAAAAGCATATTAAATGTGCAAGAGAGTCTTAAAAGAGATGTGAATTTGAACCCAATTTACAAACCACTATGCCAGGTGAATGCAGAAGCCTGATTCAGGAAAGTGAAAGCAATAATGTTATTTGGTAAAGGGACAGAACTGTTCCTTGCAACTGGTTAATCCAAACTCCACATCCAGATTTCCCACTTCTTCTGAGTTTTAGGTTAGGAATCCCTAAATTAATGGCAGGAACTGAAAAGCATTTGGGGCTGCTTCCCCTTTGATACTGTCTGAACTCTTCGGGGATGGGCAGCCCATGATAGACACTGCACCCCAGAAGATTCTGGAACCCCATGTCTCAGGGACCTTGATTCCACATGTGAGAATATGCAGAGGCATTCAAAGAAGAACTAAGGGTTTGAGTGTATCCCTTAATCAAACTCAACATCAACTATAAAAGGGGGGGAAAGGATTTTCTGCTTTGTGTTATATGAAAAAAACAGCACTAGTTTGGATGATACTTGAAGCGCTGGCTCTGGCACAAAGGTATTCCCTACTGATAACTTTCTTTAAGAATTTAAAACTAATGGGGGCGGGGAGGAACCCTTTCCATCATCTCATGATACTGCACGAGGCACTCCATTCTTGATCTGGAAGAGAGGATATTAACTGGGGATAAGAAACAAAACAAACCCATACTGTAAGCCCACTCTTCTTTCCAAATTTTCTTTGCTACGGGTTGGAAACACCAGAGTCTATGAAAATAACAAAACCTTTGCATTCTGTATGCATGTGTAAAAAATGATGACTGGGCATACATGTAAAGGTGGAGAGAGGTACCATTTTTTAAAACTGTTGCACGTCTCACTACACATTTCTATCAACAATAATTACTTATATAGTGCTTTAGGTAAGTACAGCGTTTTACACACTAAGGCCTGATGGTCCATGGTTTCAGCTGTGTACTGTGGACTTCATAAACTAACTTCCCTCAAATTTCCATGGAGGACAGGAAACCTACTCAGCATTGTCCCCTCCGTGTTTTCCCATCTTCTCTTTTTCCCTGCACAAGGAGCCAACCTGCAGCTGTGAAGCATGTTGAAAACTGTGTATTTGCAAATGTGTGGGTGGAAATGAAGAACAGAGACAAAGGTTCTCAGGAAACAGCTGCATGCCATCCAAACCTACAATAATTTGCAGACTAAAATGTCTAAAGATGTAAACGCTAGATTGCACTACCTTTACAGTTGGGGTGGCTATGTGGTTGCAAGTGATGTCAGCAGCACCTTGCAAAGCTTCTTTCAGCAGCAGCTCCAGTCTGGGATAATTTCCAAGATGGTATAACATGTTTCTACACTACTGGCTCTGCTGTACATTCCTCTGGTAAGATTTGAAGGTAAGAAAACAGAAATTCTGCTGAGCTGTATAAATGATTACCTGAGACAAAGTGGGGAGTTCTATAGATTGAGGTGGAGCCAGAAATGTGGTCACTGGCTACTGATGTAATGTGCAGCATCCTGTTTAATATACATATTAGAGAAAGCAGCATTTTACCCACCCCCAAACACTTAGCAGCAACACTGTGATCTCATCGTTCTTTCCTGGCATGAACCAAATCATCTGATTTTTGCCTCTGGTAATGGAATATTTCAGCCATGCTCATTCTGTGCCGTGAAGAAACAGTAACACAATGGCAAGAAAACATATAATGTATGTCTGAAAA